CTTGGTATATATTCACTATACAGGGTAGTGAAAACTCAGAAAAGCAGCAAAAGAAGGGCAGGGGCGGGCAGGGGTCTCCTCTGCAGCAGCAGCATCACACAGCCAGGGAAATGCATCCTCCAGGACGGGGCTGGGGCTCGGGGTCCCGGTGTTTTTCCCTGAGGCACCCAAGCAATGGCAGGGTCCTTTCAACGAGGCAGGGTGCCGGTGACATTCCCGTTCGGTGGCTGCTCTGATGAGCGAAAGCTCACTCGTGGCACAGAAGCAGGACAGGGCTGGGCTGCAGCAATGAACTCCCCATAAACAGCAGCTGGAGCATCCTGCTCTGAACCCAACGGCGAGAGAGGGCGAGGAGCCGAGCCAGCCTCTCACCACCCAGCCAAAATTTGAGGTATCTTTTATCTTCCAAAGAGAAAACCCACCAGGTAAAGAGAGTAGCCAGTCAAATCCTTCCCCATCCTTACCCTGAGCCAAGGCAACTTCTTTTATCTCTCTAAATTACCAGTGGTTCTTGTCTCTTAGAAATGTATGGGAGAAAATTCCCTGAGAAAAAGAAAACAAAAGGAGCAATCCTAAGCTCCAACTGCTACTCAAAAGGTTAAGTTTATATTGACATCACATCTTTGGAGACATCTGATTCCTGGTAAACACACTGAGGATTTCTCCTCTTGCATAAGAGATCATGTTTGTGCTCTTTCCAGTTTTACCTCACCCATTAATCGGTATTTCAGTTCTCAGCTCCGTTAATGATTTACTGCAATTTTTCTTAATTTGTCTGTTAAAATCTCCAAAGGCTCTGGAACGTCTAGATAAGAGTTACCTGCTAACATTAGCAAAATACTCTGAGACTTCTGTTTTGTTGAAGTTCGGTGATACTTGAATATTTCTGAAAATGATACATGAGCAATGAGTTTATAGCCATTCTTCATTTAAAAATTGGGTCTATAGTTAAAGATTAAAATAAGAATTCTGCACTAATCATGTTTAAGGAGATTTTCACCAAGATAATTTGATTACTGAGGAAACTAATGAGGACTGTATAGGATATGCTGCCAGTTTTGCAGAAAAAGAATAAAAATAAAAGAATGCCCACCTTCTACCAATAGACTGGAAAACCAAATACAGAAATTGTGATTGCTTGTAAAGTTTGTACTTTAAGATAACCTTTAGAAAAGATCATTCACATTCAGATTCTCCTTTTAAACCTTACCAGAAATGTAATTTTTACTATTTCTGAAGACTCTGTGGGACAGATTGTAGTACAGAGGACGAGATGTCTTCAGTATCAAATGTTCATAAATGAGTTTGATTTGCTGTTTGACTCTGCAGCATGAAGAGAGCAGCCAGTTTATTTCTAGGTATGTGTATCCTCTCCAGGTATTTCAAATGATATGGGTGGAATCACCTTGATCCCCATTTCGATTAATTTAGGCCAGCCATGTAAAGTGGATGCTCAGGCTCCCTGCCACCCTCCTGGGACCCAAGGAGCAGACGTGGCGCTGCCCGTGGCCGGCAAGCCGAAGAGAACGGGCTCCTTGGCACTGTTCTACAGGAAGGTGAGTGCCCTTCTCCTCCTTGGCACTGTTCTACAGGAAGGTGAGTGCCC